CACCCGCTGGCCCGCCGCGAGCTGCACCTCGACCGCGTCGTGCTGGTTCTGCAGCGACTGACGCCCGCTTCATCGCCCCGCTCGGGCATCCTCCGAGGCAAACTTGGCCGCAGACGATGACGGCAGGCTGGCACTGGCCATCGTGGGCGAGCCGGCGGAGCGGAGGCCCGTCGCGCCATTGCCGGGGGCCGAGTCGCCGCCTCTGCCGCCGCCGAAGCCAAAGAGGCCCTTTTTGATGCCGGCGATGCCGCTCTCGCCCGCTCCTCGGGGCGCCGCGTTGCCGTACACGTAGAGGGGCTTCTCCTTTTTGCCGTTGGCGGCGTCGCCGTTGGCCTTGTGGCTGCGCAGCAGGTCGCCCTTGGCGCTGATGTCCTGCTCGAGCTCCTCGTGGCCCAGCCGGAGCTGCTCGAGGATGCGCTGGCGGAAAGCGTCGTCGGCGCCGCCGCCACCGTTGGAGCCCTTGGCATCCCCCACGCCGCCGCCGCCGCCGCCGCCGCGGACGAGCTGCTCGATGTTGGAGAACGTGGTGCTCTTGGCCATCTGCGACGCCTTGAGCTCGCGCTCGAGGGCGTGGATGCGCTGCTCGTACTGCTGACGCGTCCGACTGACGAGCTCGTCGGCCTGGAGGTCCTTGCGCCGCGCGTTGGACTGCGCCTCGTCGCGCTGCTGCTGCGCCTGCCGCAGCGACGCCGTCAGCTCGTTGACCTTGTTCTCGAGGCTCTTGGTGGCCCGGTCCGTCGAGCCAGACGCCGACGACGACGGCGCGACGTTGCCGTACGTGACGGCGGCGCTCCGCGATCCCGCTCCCGCTCCCGCGCCCGAGACGGCAGCCGAGGAGCCCTGGGCGCGCTGCAGCTTGCTCACCTCGCGCGCCAGGTCCTCGTTTTCGGCAATCAGGCGAGCCTTGCTCTTTTCGAGCGTCTTTGTGTAGTGCGCCAGCTCCTGGAGCTTCGACTGGGCGTCGACCAGCTGGCGGTCGGTGTACTTTTTGGCCTCCTCGAGGACGTGGACGTGCTCGACGATTGTCTTGTTCTGCATCGACTGCATCTTGCGCATCTCCTGCTGGGCGAGGGCGAGCTCGTTGCGCAGCTCGGCGGCCTCCTTGTCCTTGCCGGCGACGAGCTGCTGCAGGCTGCCGAGGTTGCGCTCCGCCTGCTTTTGCGACGACTCGAGCAGCTCGCGCCGCTTCGACTCGGCGGAGAGCTCGGCCGTCACCTGCTCGACCTTGTGCTTCCAGCCGTTGGAGCTGCGCTCGAGCTCGAGCAGCGCGTCCTCGAGGTCCTGCTGCGTGGCCGACGCTGCCTGCAGCTGCTTGTCGAGCGTGTCCTTGGCCTTGAGCGCGTCCTGGAGGCCGCGGTTGAGGACGGCCGACTTGCTCTGGGCGTCGCGCAGCTCGGCCTCGGCGGTGCGCTGGGCCTTTTCCGCCTCGGCCAGCTTGGCGTCGTTTTCGGCCATCCGGGCGTCGGCCTGGCGCACCTTTTCGCCGGCCTCGGCCTGCGCCCGCTCGAGCTCCTCGACGCGCTTGCGCGCCGTCGCGACGTCGGCCTTGAGCGAGTTGATCTGCTCGAGGCTCGAGTGCCGGTGGTCGGCCAGCTCGCGCTCCACCTCCGACATCTGCTGCCGCAGCGTGAGCAGCTCCTGCTCCTTCATGCGGTGGAGCTCCTTCTGCTTGACGTCCTCGGAGCTCTTGGCGTCCATCAGGCGGCGCGTCTCGTCGAGCTCCTTCTGCACCGAGGCGCGCGCCTCGGCCGACTTGGACGCATCGTCGCGCGCCAGCTTGAGGTCGTAGGCGAGCGTGTCCGCCTTGGCCTTGAGCTCGGCGCCCTCGCGAGCGATCGAGTCCCTTTCGCGGGCCAGCGCCGCCAGCTGGGCGCTGACCTCGGCGATCTGCGCCTCCTTCTTCTTGACCTGCGCCTCGTGGTCGGACGACGCGCGCGCCAGCTCCGAGAGCTGGTACGACGACTGGCGCGTCTGGTCCTCGAGCTGCGTCAGCCGCGACCTCTCGTCGTCGCGCGCCTTGACCTCGTCGGCCAGCTTGGCCTCGAGCTCCGCCACGGCCTGCGCCATGCGCTTCTGGGCGCGCTCGACGTCCTGCTCCTTTTCGCGCAGCTTGAGCGCCAGCTCGTCGCGCTCGGCCTGCAGCGCCTGCTTGTCGGCGCGGAGCTGGTCGGCCGCCTGGCCGTGCTGCCCGACGTCGCGGGTGAGCGTGGCCTCGCGCTGCGTCCACGCCTTCTGTTCGGCCTCGAGGCGGAGCAGGTGCTCGGCCGCCTGGTCGAACGCCACCTGGAGCTCCTGGTGGGCCTGCTCGGTGGCCTTCTGCGATGCGATGGCCTTTTCCAGCTGGCCGTCGAGCAGGTCGACGTCGGCCTGGAGCGCGGCGAGGTCGTCCTCGAGCGCCGACTCGCGCTCCTTGGACCGCGCCAGCAGCTGGTCCTTGTCGAGCAGAAGCGCCCGCTCCGACTCGAGCTCGTCCTCGACCTTTTTCTTCTCGCTCTCGAGGGTGAACTTGAGCGCCTCGAGCGCCTCGCGCTCCTTCTGGTCGCGCTCGGCCCGCTCCGTCACCATGGCCAGCTCGAGCTGCTTGCGCTTGAGCTCCTCGTCGTGGCGCGTGGCGGTGAGCAGCGGGCGGACGCGGCTGTACAGCTGCCACCACGGCCACTCGCGCAGCTCGACGTAGAGGCGCGCGTTGCGCTGGATGGTCCGCACCGCGGCCGCCCGGTTGAGGATCTTTTTCATCTGGCGGCGCGCCGTGTACATCCGGCAGGCCGCCTGGAAGCGCGCAAAGATGTCGTAGAGGTGGGCGTCGCGCTTCTCCTCCATCTCGGCGAGCACGCCGGCCTTGAAAAAGATCTTGGAGCTGCCGATCTTGAACGTGGACCGGTCGAGCTCGAGCGCCTCGACCATGCGCTGGCATGCCTTGCGGCCGTCCATGTAGCCCTGCGGGATGATGCCGGGCGTCAGCACCTCGTACCGGTTGCGGAACTCGGAGAAGAGGAGGCGGTTCGGGTAGCCCAGGCGGGCGATGCGGATGCCCTCGAGCACGCCGTTGCACCGCAGCTGCTCGAGCACCAGCGGCACCTCCATCTTGCCCGGCTTCTTTTCCGGGTTGGGCACGATACAGCGCACAAAGTGGGGCTGGGTCGAGCCGAGCTGCGTCATGAGCGAGGCCAGCTGCTCCTTGTGCCTCTGGCCCACGGTGCGGAACGCGCCCCGCTTGACGCGACGCTTCGGCGGGCCGCCGGCCGCCGCTCCCAGGCCCGACAGGCCACCGGCTCCACCCGCGGCGCCGACGCTGCCGCTGCCGCCGCCGCCACCTCCGTCGTCGGCCTCGGCGTACTCGGCAAAGAGCGAGGCGATGAAGCGGTCGTTGGACTCGGACATGACGCGCGTGAGGTTGTCGTTGAGCGGGTCCTTGTTCTTGTCGAGCCACCCATCGGTGCGGTATTCGACGTCGCCGGCGTAGTGCTTGATGGTGAACCCCTGGGCGAAGCGGGCCGGCGCGTACTTGGTCGAGCCGTGGGCGACGCCCCTCTCTGCGGCGGCGGCGGCGCCCGAGGCGTCCTTTGCGCTGCCGTCGCGGTTGGTGGCCCAGATGCGGTTGAGCTTCTCGGTGAAGGTGAGGTCGGTGGCCTTGGGCATGATGCACTCCTCGTCGAGGCACGAGAGGACGCCGATCGGCGTCGTCGACTCGATCAGGTCGATGGTGGGCTGGAGGTCGAGGCCAAAGTTGACAAAGTCCCACTCGATGTTCTCGCGCGCGTACTCCTCCTGCTCGAGCACAAACATGTGGTGGTTGAAGAACTGCTGCAGCTTCTCGTTTGTGTAGTTGATGCAGAGCTGCTCGAAGCTGTTGACTTCGAAGATTTCGAAGCCGGCAATGTCGAGCACGCCGATAAACGTCGACTTGCTCGTCGGCCGGTCGAGGGCGCGGTTGATGCGCTCGACGAGCCACCCAAACGCCTTTTCGTAGATCGTCTTGCTGAGCGCCGCCATCTCCTCGATGACCTGGCGGCGCGTGCGCGACGACGTGACCCACTCGCGGCCCGCCTTGACGCGCGGCCGCAGCAGCGCCTTGGTCAGCTCCTGCTCCGGCAGGCCGAGGACGTGGCACACCTTTTCGACCTGCTGCGCGTTGGTGATGCGCGCCTGCTCGGAGCGGTCGTCGGCCAGCTCGATGTTGCCAATCTGCAGGATGGCGGCGGCGACGCGGAACAGGTTGAGCTGCTCGTCGGGCGTGAAGCCGACAATGTCGAGCGCCTCGCGCAGCAGCCGCCACTCGGAGCGGTCGTCGACGCCCTCGACGTCCTTGCGGCTGCCGCGGAGGAAGCCGTAGTCGTCGGGCGAGCTCGAGAGGAGCAGCTTCTGCTTGAGCTCCGGCTCGCCGCCGCGCAGCAGCTGGTAGAAGATGTGGAAGCTGCGCTCCTTTTCGCTGCGGATCGCCACGCGGCTCTTTTCGAGCAGGTACCAGTCGATGTTGGCACCGGCGATGGCGCCGAGCGAGGTGAACTCGATGCGGACAAACTTGCCGAACCGGCTCGAGTTGTTGTTGCGGATCGTCTGGGCGTTGCCGAAAGCCTCGAGGATGGGGTTGGCCTGGAGGATCTGCTGCTCGAGCAGGCCCAGGCGCTTGGCGCTCACCGCCTGGATGCCCTGGAGGTGGTCGAGCACCTTGCGCGACGAGTTGGCCCGCGTCAGCGTGCCCATCGGCGACGCGCCCGCAGAGCCGCCGCCGGCGCCGCCCGCGTTCCCGGTGCTGGCCGTGTCGGCGGCGATGGCGGCGAGGTACTGGATGACCTTTTTCGTGTTCTCGGTCTTTCCGGCGCCCGACTCTCCGGTGATGAGCAGGCTCTGGTTCTCGCGGTTGTCGAGCATGCTGCGCATCGCGCCGTCTGCGAGCGCAAACACGTGGGGCGCATTCTCCTCGCGCCGCCGGCCCTTGTAGGCGGCGATTATGGCATCCGTGTAGATGGGCAGGGCGTGGTACGGGTTGATGGCGACCAGGAAGAGGCCGGAGTAGGTCTGCAAGGGCCGCGGAGGGGGTGGCGGTAGGTCCAGGCGTGGCAGGAGACGATTCGAGGGGTTCGTGGATCAGCATGCATGCGGACGATGGTCGGTGGCGGCGGAGGACGAGGAGACCCGCCGGACCGCGGCTGCGACTCACGTAGATCAGGCCGCTAAAGTAGCGCTGCCGGAGGTTGTGGACGACGCTGGCCTCGTTGAGAAAGGTGAGGTCGGCGATGTCCTCGACCTTGTCAAACTTTGGCGGGTTCATCTTGCTGAGCTCAAAGGTGGGGATTGAGCGGTTGGAGCCGTCCTGGAGGGCGCATACGGACGTGTCGCCGCCGTCCTCTTCCTTGATGATCCAGGCGGAGAGGTAGCCGGCGTGCGGGTCGGGCACCCAGACGTACTTTTTCGAGGCAAACTCGGCGGCGGAGGCGGCGTCCGAGGCCGACGTCTGGCCGACGCCGCGGGGCGGCCGCGGCATGGCGGCTGCGAGCTGTGCTGCCGCAGAAGCATCGGTGGATGGGGTGGAACGGTGGGCGGAGCGGAAGATGCCCGACTTTGTTCGGACGACGTCGACCATGGCCGGAGATGTGCGAGGGGGGGCGTGTGAGGAGAGGCGGGGTTGCGCCGGGAGCGGGCAGGGAGATGGTGTGGCGGCCAGCAAGGGCTGCCGAAGGTCCACGGGGTGGTCCGAGGTGAGCGTGGTCGCGGACGGGCTGCTTCAGGTCGGGGGCATGGTTCCCTCGCAGGCGAGGCGGGGTCGGGTTAGGGGTCGACGCGCCTGTGCCGGCGATACAGGGATGGGGCGGGGCCGCTGATCCGAGATAGGTAGATTGTGACGCCGCCGTCGTCGTCGTCGTCGCGCGGCTGGTCGTAGGTTGACCGTCGAGGCAAAGCTGGGGACGTCGCTATGTCGTTAGTGCTGCACCGCGCCAGGGTCTAGATTTGGGTGAGCTGGTGACCAGACGGAGCGAGGGGTAGCGAGCGGCCTGACGAGATCGAGCACGGGCAGGCGGGTTGCGGGCAGACGTGGGTGATGACGGTGAGGATGTCGATGTCGATGGCGCTGGTGGTGGTGGTGGTGGCGCCGTAGGAAAAAGGAGGCAGCCAAGAGGGCCCCGACGACGCCGCCTGCAGCCCAGCCAAACAAGCAAGCAAGCAAGCACCGGCGGGCAAAGTGGGGCAGGCACGGTCCGCCCGCGTCGGAGGCAGCCCACCACCTCTCAAACGCCGAGCGACAGGCAGGGGCCAAGGGGGAAGGCATCGCTCGCCCGCCTCGTCTGGCAGCTTGCGGGTGAGGGGTTGGGCCTGCCGTCACTCTGCGCGGCGAGTGCGTCTCTAGCTGGCCTGGCCGTGCATGGCCACAGAGGCTGCATAGTGGACGGCGAGGGCAGGCCATTCCTAACATGATGGCACCGGCCGATGCGAAACAGGGGGGCGTCGCAGGGGCCAGCAGCGCCCAGCGGCGTGGGCCAAGCAAGCCGCCTACTGCCTGCTGGGCTGCCCTGCTGGGCTGCCAGGCAGCGTGTGTGTTGGTCTCTCTCCCGGCCTCGCCCCGGACCCCTGAGACGCGCCAGCCGAGGTGCAGCCTGAGCGCTGGCCAGCGCGCCGACAGACGTGCTCTCCTCGTTCCACGTAACTCTTGCCGCACGAGAAATCCGGCGGGCGCAGCACACAGACCCGAGGGTCCTCGCTCCCTTGC